CCAAGACCAAGCCTGGGTACCTGGGTACCTGGGTACCTGGGTTGGGGGAGGTGAAAGGGCTGTAGGAACGGCCTCTGACCCCACAGTGCCCTCTCAGCTCATCAGTCTGGCTGCTGGCCTGGACTCCAGGGGTCTTGCACTGCCAAGATGCTCTAGACAACATCCAGCTACTTCCGAGGCCAGAGTGTTCTCTCCTGGGTCCTCCTAGGGACCCCCTTGGTCTCTGGCTGCCCAGGGGGCTCATGGAGACAAGGGTGTCCAGGGCATAGGGCATGGGCAGGGGAAGATGGTTGTAAGGAAACCAGTAGGTAGATGGCTTGCTGGCCAGGGCTCTCCTCAGGAACACCAGAGGACCTTCACTATCAGAATGATTATTTCGAACCCAGCTCTGCCCCTGCCCTCTTCCAGCCCCTTTCCCTGGTTGTGGGTCTTGAAAGATTTTAATCAGTGCACATACCAAGAGCCCAGAGGAGCAGGGAGACCCGCGTTGCCCACTCTCACCTTAGGAAGTCTGAAAAGCCCACATTCACCTCCTCTGTCTGACCCGGTCACTCCACGTGTCCGCAGAAAGGGCTGGTCCTTCCCCTCGGTGCTGGCTTTAGTCACAATGCCTCAAAAGACATGGAACCCAGGCTGACAACAGTCCCAAATGTTAACTTTTTCCTTTCATTTTGCTTTCTAAAAGCAGTTGTTATACTGTTTATAACATTGTATAGTTTAATTTCATGCCATTTTGGACTTATGTAAAAATGTGGGAATTCGGATTTTTAAAAAGAATGACTCCATTTTAGATAGCTCCTTTTGATGTTAATATATAGTGAGTCCAATGTATGCTTTAGAAGTAAAGACATTGACCTTCACAGACCAAAACACTGCTTGTTCCAGTCATCCTTATACAGGGGAATGTTGGGATGTGGAGAGAGAGAGAGGTGTGCAGGCCAGGGTGTCAGGCTTAGGACTGGGACATAAGGCTGAGTCTGAATCCAGAGTTTTGAACATCCTGGTTGTGAGACTTTGGGCAAATCACTTAGTCTCTTTGGGACTCAGTTGCCTCATCTATAAATGGGGAGGTTAAACCTTTGCCTTGCTTGGTTCTTGTGAGAGTTAAGTGGAGTCACATGTGGAGGCCCTGGTGGGGAAAGTGACAATGCTGCCAGTACCAACTGCCGGACACTTAGGGCCCTCGAGCTGCAACCTCTTGACCTCCTTGGGATTTAACCACAGCCCCTGTAAAGGGAGCTGGGCCATGAGGGACCAGCAGCTCATGGGTGGTCAGAAGCTGGGGCCTGGGCCTGGGAAGCATGAGCACTTGCTCAGCCCCGGTGGAAAGCCAGGGCCTGCCTGGGCAGCCTACAAGTGCTGCCCCCGAGGACTGCCCGCTCTCACCTCGTTCCACTTGCCCTGTCACACGGTGATCCATCTACATGTCCGACCCAGCCGCCGTCATCTCTGCCTTCCTGCACCCCCACCTCTGTCTCCCGACCCCTGCCCGGCTGTGTGCCAACTGCAGTTCAGGCTCCTGTTTCTCAAAGGCAACACTGGAGGCGAGGAGAGGAAGGGAGAAACAACCCCCGCTCCAGGCCTGGACGTCTGAGAGCCAGTGGAGGGTGGGCAACAGGGATGCTGTGCCCTGAAGGTGGGGATGGAGGTGAGGGTGGAAGGAGGACAAGGAGCTTCCCATGCCAGAAGGGGCTCAAAACTGGCTGCAGAAGGCTTAGTGGAAAGGCCAGGGGGACCCCAGATGTGACCTGGACGTCACGTTCCTTTCCTCCTCTGTGTGTGGCCATGGGAGGACCCTTCCTTTGGGAAGCTGTGTGCTTCCTTCCTGCAGGCATCTACCTCTCAGCCAGAGGATGCCTGGGCCCCTTGTGTCTGTGTCAGACTTGAAGTGAGGCTTCCTTCCTTCCTAGCTGAGTGACCTTAGGCAAAACCCACCCCCCTCGCAGAGATGCCTGGAAAACACTGGCAGATGTTTGGTGTTTTGTAGCTTCAGGGTGCCCTCCTGAATGGATGATGGTCTGTGTGAGCCCGGGGCAGGAGGAACCCTGGCTGGGCACAGCCCAGCTCACATGGAGCCTGCAGTGACTTTTTCTTCCTTTGTCCCCAGCCCTGCCTCCCTTCACAAATCAGTGGGGCTCTTATGGCTCCCACTTGGGCCCCAGCCTCAGCCCAAATCAGGGCAATGAATGGAGCCCTGGCCTAGGAGCCTGGGTGTTCAGGCTCAAGCCTTAGACCTTTGGTAACATGTGGTCCCAGGCAGGCTCTGCTCCTCTCAGGGCCTCAATTCTGTCTGAAGCAGAGGTCTTGATCTCTGAGAGTCCTTAGAGATCTGTCACTCTGATTCTGGGAAGGTGACAGGATCAACCTGAGCTTCCATTTCCCCTCCCTCCCTCTCCTGGCCTGCAGTCTACTCCCCACCTGTCTCAGTCTGGTCTCTCTTGATTGTAAGTGACAGAAACAGCATAAACTGGCTTTAGCAGCTGCCCACTGCACCTGGCCACACACACAGGTAGCTCTCCCACACACCTGCCCAGGAACCCCACAGCTCCCTGTGTCCTATATCTGATGCGAGTCTCCTCTCTCAGAGTGTGGAGTTCTCATGGGGGAACTTCAGGCATTATGACCAGGGGTACTAACTAGTGCTATCTTCTCTAGCCTCTGGGGAATCATTCCCTATGTCCCAACCACTAACAGGATGGGAAGAGGGTGGTAATTTGGGGTGAGGGGTTACATCTGGATGAGAGCCAGAGAAGTGAGAGGGAGAAGCTGGCATAAACTTCACATTTTGGAGGCAGTAGTTCGCCTTTTCTGGGGAAAGAGGCACTGCACTGGGGTGGGGGGTGGGGGGTGAGCAGAGCATTTTCCCAGGTCGTAGAAGTCATTGTCAGGGCAGGCTGGACCACCAAAGACAACTTCCCCAGGGAGCCCATCATCCTGTTGGCTTTGTCAAACCCCCTCTGTGTGGCTTGCTCTGTGCTTGGTCCCTGCAGCAGGGCAGTGAGAGGGGACCCTGCTCTCTGGGAGTGGAGCCTGCACTCGTGAACCGTGGTGGCAGTGGCGTGCTGTTGTGGTTAAGAGTGCTGCTGGGCCTGGCCGGAGTCCTACCCCCTCCACTCATCAGCAGCAAAGCTTTGGGAGGGTTGTTGGATCTCCCTCATTTTCCTCCTCTGTGAAGGGGGCACTGTAGTGTTCTTTACTGGGCTTTAGGGTGAGGGCCCAGTGAAATGACCTGTGTGGACTGTTTGGCACGTAGTGGCCACTCAGGAAAGCAGAGCACTGGGAGGTCAGAGGCAGGAGGGAGCCAGCCTAGCTCTCTGGTCTGAATGTCAGTGTCTCCCCATCCCTGCTACAGAAGACCTTTCCTATCCACCAGCTGGTTTGAGCCTCGTACCGTCTTGATAAGACGAGCAGGGCAGACCTGAGGATCTGCTTTGTGCTGACCTTTGAGAAGTCCAGGGGCTTCCCAAAGGCATACAGTTGGTGATGAGAGTGGCCTGGAATTGGAGGATGGGTTGACCAGGTGGGGAATAGGCAGTGGGGTGGGACTGCCCTGCCCTCTGAACCTCACAGGCCTCCAGCTCCAGCCACTGGAGCCTGGGACTCTGGCTCCAACATGCTTTTTGCTGGCCAGGAAGCCAGGAACAATGGCCGGGACTGGTGCTGGCACCAGGGCTGGCCAGGGGAGCAGGAAAGGTCTTCGCCAGCAGGCAGAGGGGGCGGCCAGGCCTCTGGGCAGCTCTTAAGTCCTTGAGGGATAGGAGCCGCCGTGCTCTGTCTTCCCATCTGTGCAGAGGCAGCTCTGTAGAGAGCCTTGGCCTCCCTAGGCAAGGCTGTCTCCAGTCTCCCAACCTCAGTCTCTCCTCCAGAGCAGAGCAGGCCCCAGACAGGACCAAGGGCTGCTCAGGCCTTGGAAATTTGCCCAGGGCCTCCCCGTCTGGGCCAGGCTCGCCTGTGATAAGCTCCCATCCTCAAGCGGATACTTTCTTTGTTCCTTGAAGGTCATGCCTCCAGGAAAAGCTTTGGCCGCTATTGATTTTCATAGATCTACAAAGATTCCAGCAGGAATGCCCAGTCCTCCTCAGGGCCCTGAAAAGGAGGTCAAGAGGAGGGGTGGGAGGGTGGGAAGGGGTCTGTGGGGTCTCTCTCTTCACTGTGACTGTGTGTCCATCCCCACCTTGGGTCTGCGTCCCTGCCTTTGTTCATCCACCAGTGTTCCTGAGCACCTGCTATTTGCCAGACACTGAGCTGGTGCGGCAGGGCTTGAAGCTAAAGCTAGAACTTCGGATGAGAGACTTTTGAGGCTTTCATGTATTAAAAGGTAGGGTCCCAAAGGTCAAGGTTGCTGATATTTAGCACAGAATAATACCTGCAAGAGTCCTCCCTGACCCTCATGCACCCTCCTTCAGCCGGGACACTTACTGTATCCCTGATCCTCCCCATTGTCAGCTCCCGGCCCAGGGCGAGGGTACGTGTTTCCTGTGTTACTTTGTAATAATCGCAACTATCACTTGTAGTACTTGTTTCATTTAGTCCAGGTCTGTGCCTTGGTTCTGGGAATCCACAGGCCCCATTCCTGAGTCCTAGGTCCACTTAGAGAGGCAAGAGGGACTGACAGGTGCAGTTTTTTCCAAGAGTCTTCTGTGGGCCACAGGCTATGAGTTAGTCCCCCGAAGCAGCCACAGTTCCTGTCCTCATAGTCTTGGGGAAGAACTGGGGAGAAGGGAGGACTTGAGAGAGGCTAGCCTAGAAGAAAGAGTGAGATTTGGGTAGGAAGAGATGGAGAAAGAATTTCAGGTGGCAAGAAGCCTTTGAACAAAGTTAGGAGGCAGACAAAAGCCTGAGGTGTTTGCAACAGCAAGGAGGCTGGTGATAGGGTTCAGGTCAGTGCCCAATAGTGGATTAGATTCAGGTTAGAAAAGCCTGGAGGTGAGGCCATGGAGGCTGGGCTGTCCCCAAGGCAGTGGCCACAGGGAGGATTTCTAATATGATCTCTCTATGAGAGCAAAGAGCTCCATGAGGCTGAGGGAACTTGGAGGCCAGGAGACTGTGGCCCAGGCTGGGTGGAGGCGGGGCTTCTTTCCTTCTCTTGGGATTTTCAATCTGCAGAGTCTGCCACTGCCAGCAACTCCACGAGAGCTTTCTGGTGGAAAATCTTCTCTAAGCCCCGGTTGAATGTCCCCACTGGTTTCCTCCCCACTCTTGGCTTGCGTCTCTCATAGCAGGAAGGTGGTAGGGGGGTGGCCACAGGCTCAGGGGTCAGGCAGGCTTACTTCAATTTCTAGCACTGCCAGTCCCCAGCTGTGTGACCGTGGGCCAGTCACTTAACCTCTCAGAGTTCATTTCATCATCTGTTAAGTGAGTTAAAATTACCCACCTCAGGGGGACTAGAGTATTTAATACATTACCTTGCACTTAAAACCTAGAAAGTGTATACTAAATCAGGCGTGTTCACACATCTTCTCTGCATTTCCTTTATTCTTGGTCACACATTTTTATATCTATGAAATCAGGATTCAATGTGCAACTGGTGGGTAAGGACCTAATCAAATTCCTGGGCTTGAGGAACGTGGTCTAGGTGTGCCCACGTTCTCACTTTCTGCTTTCAGGTTTGAGCCAGCTGGGTCAGCCTCTCTCCCCCTGGACTAGAAGCTCCTCTGTCCTCCTCAGGTACGGCATCTGCTCTGTGTCCCTCCTGCACCCACACGGGGCCTGTTGAGGCCTCAGATGTCTGCTGGGTCAAATTCCCAGAGGGACTTGCCCAGTCATTCAGTGTCAAGGAAGCAGGGCTAGGAGAAAACTCAGGCACCTGATGCCCTCTGGCATCTCAGCATGCTCTCTGGAGCCCTCTGACTGCCCCCAGTCTCACACAGGCCGGGACTCCAGCATTCCTGCTATCAGCCTTAAGCAAATCCATCTCTATCTGAGCTGTCAGGTTGGAAGGGACACTCAGGGTTGAAGAATGTGGCTCTGAAACCCCAGGGGGCTCTACCAATGGCTTCCCAAGGTTCAATCCAGGGGGACTGCCCCTCAGCTTGGAAGAAAGTACTCCTTCCTGCATGAAATGGTGGGAGGCTGGGTACCTCCTCAACAGGGTCCCAAGGAGGAGAGGGCTCTGACCTGCTTACCACTTCCCATCCGCTCCCCCTCATGCTATTTTCTGCCCTGCTGTCAGCAGAGCCCATACCTGAGGATGGAGAGATGGACACCATGGTCCCTCACCTCTGTGTACGGGTAATGATTCACCACTACCCCTAAAAGAAATTAAAGTCAGCCTCGAGTATATAAGGTAGGCTCCATCTGCATAACACACAACAACACAACTCATCTCCTTGTTTATTAGCCAAGATTGAACAAAAGACCCTCATTCTGGGAAATAACTTATTCTACAAATACTGGACACAAACCATATGTAAACACTGTGCCAAGTGCTGGGACTTGCTTTGAGTTCTGGGTTCTGGGTTTGGCTAGAGGCTTTCCCTGACCTGGGCCTTAATTTTCCCACCTGTGAAAGAGGGTAGCTTTGGTTCTGCTCACTCTCCAGGGTGCTTATGGAGCATGAGGCCTGGAGGAGAAAAACGGATCACATGATAAAGTATAGCACAAGGTCCAGAAGTGAGGGTCCAGTATTATTCTTTAAATTCCTTCCACCTGAGACCAGGCTTACATGCACTAGGTGCTTAGTAAATATTGGTGAAAGGGGACAGGGAGGATGTAAGTCAGGTTTTCTTAACTTTTGTGGGCACTGACTGTTCTGAGCATCAATGAAAACTAGGAGCCTTTCCATGGAAAATGCACATGTGGGCAGACCCATGGTTTTGCACATGATTTCAGGAGATTCATGGGCCCCTGAAGCCCCAGATCCTGGAATCAGAAGTCTTGCTCCACCAGTTCTGGAGCTGGGGGGCCATTCACCCTGATTTGGGTCTGTCCTTGCAGACTGCCACAGCTGAGTGGGGCGGGGTATCTGATGGCCCTGGAGCTAAGGCTGATGCTGACTGCTCCAACCCCCAACCACGCTAAGACACTGCTTTAGCCCAAAGCTTTGGGCAAGGTTATTCTGGACCTGGCCCAGGTGCACCCATGGCTGTTTGCAGGACATCATGCCTCCTTTCTGTAGGTTGGTTGGCAGATAAGTTCTAGTCCTAAAGCTCTGTGGACAGAGCAGATAACTATTTGCTTACAAGGTATGTTCGTTGGCTTTGGGGAACAGGAAACTTTCTTCTCTGAGTGGTCTCAGGCACCTCATCTTACTTCTACACTCTGCTGCTTTGCAGGGAATGGAGTCCATAGGTCTGGCCAGCACTTCAGGACCTTTCTCTACATCTGCAGGGGCACCCCAGGCCCACGGTGTATACTGGTATGGCAAGGCCTTCTGAGATAGGTGTCTAAAAATCCTTCTCGATCCCCCTCTTTTCTCTTTAAGGCTCAAGTTCAGAGTCTGAGGTGGAAGGGGCCTGGTTATAGGGGCACAAAGAAAACCTAATTCCCAGGCCTGCCTCTGCCCCTTACGACTGGCTGGGGCTTGGGGCTTCGACGTTGACTACCTGGGGTCACCAGACATCTTTTCCAGCCTCCCACCAGTCCTCCAGGAGTTGGCAGGAGGCAGGTAAGAGTGAGATATCATCATCCCGAGGTCCTGACCCTCCCCCAGCCCCTGTAAGAAACACACACACACACACACACACACACACACACGGGTGTGTTGCCTCCCTGTGGAGCATAAGGTTTATTTCCAGTCAGGCTGAACTCTTAGGGAGACGGGTGCTGCCACCATACACCCTCTGTCTTGCTGGGGAACCTGAGGTAGCCTGATCTGGCAGCCTGGGGGTCAGCCTCCTTTTCACAGATTAATGCCAGGGAGTCAGGTAGTTGATACGACTGTGGAGAGAAACAGGGGTGAGGTGGGGCCTCCAAGGTGTCCTGGGGAAAAGTCAGGCTGTCCTTCTCTAGGCCTTCCCCTTAAAACCCACCTTCCTGCTCTGAAAACGCAGTATCTCTATGGCTCAAGAGCCTTTGATGGCTCCCTATTTCCTTTAATATATTTTGGTTGCTCTATTTGACTTTCAAGCCCCACTTCCAGTTGCCTCTTCTTTATCTCCTGTGAGCTTTACTCATTTTTCAATCATTTAGTGAACCTATTCCGCCAATCATTATATAGTAGTAGAAAAACAGTAAGTGTTCCCCTGTGGGTATACACGGTGGGTGAGGGAAGGCAAACGTCCTATCAATAATTATAAAGCAATAGTCTGTGTGCTCTAAGATAGGGAGATATGCACATGTAGGGACCAACTGGAGTGAGGTTTGAGCTGAAGGGGAGAGGCAGAGGATCAGGGAAGACTTCAAGGAGGATGGGACATTGGTGCTGGGCTTTAAAGAGTAAGGAGGAATTTGCCAGGCAGAGAAAGAAGGCTCTGAAACAGCACAAGATGTGAAGTTCTTGGTTGCGCTCTTGGTTTGGGTTGTCCCAGGAGTCTGGTACTGCTGAAGTGTAGGAAATGGAGCTGGAGAGGTGGGAGATGGCCAAAGTATGAAGGTGCTTGAATATCTTGGACGCTCCTGCTAGGAATATGAGCCCCAGCCCTTACCACCTAACCTGCATCCTGGAAGGCAAGTTTTTGGCTCTTCCATCCTATTTCTTATATATCTATTTACAATTCCAGCCCCTGCACTTCTTCCAGGTACCACCACCACCACCACCACCACTATCCCGGACCCTCTTTGTCTTTTGGCCTCATTGGGGCAAATTGAGTGGGAGATGCACTTTGCTCCCTCCATCTTCCAGTGGGCTACACCTTTGCCAGGCAAGGATCTCTTCAGAGGGAAGCCCTATGGCATCCCGACCCCTACATCGCCAAGTAGGATACTACTCCCCTGGTGCCTCCCTAAAGAGGCCCCGAGAGTGGAGAGGGGTCTGAGAATTGCCTGAGTCCTTAGGCTGCCCCTCAGGGCCAGGTGTGATGCGGGGATGGAGTCATTCCCTGCCCATCTCCCTTCTAGTTCCAGCCCTACCTGTAGTTGGAGCCGAAGTGTCGGAAGGCATTCCTGGAAAAGAGAGAGGAGGGTGAGGCCGGGGTGCGAAAGGGTGATCCTCTCTGGGAACACTACTCTCACGTTGGGAGGCGCTGTGCCTTCAGGATTACACTTGCACTTTCGTCCCACCTTAAGACCTCCACTCTAAAGGGTGAAGTTGCTAGGGACTGGATGACAGGATGCTCTATTTGGTAGGAATTAAACTTTTACTCATTTTGAAATTGCAACTTTCTTTTGGTGTATTGGAGTCAATTATTCCTAGGTCTCACATTTTCAAGGGCCACTAGGTGTGCGCTGGTGAAAGCAGCCAAGATCCCACCCTCCCTCCTCCAGGTATGGGGTCCCGGGGCCTTGTGGGGTCACTTACAGGGAGTCGAAAGGCAGGGGCTTCTGTCCGTAGCGATCCAGGCTAGGGTTCTGGTTAAGACAGAACTGGGATGGGCCAGAGGGATGGGGGTCCATTGATTGGGGGGACACGGACCCCCTGCCCACGCTCCACACAGCGCTATCTGCCGGAGATCTTTGCCCTCGGCGCTGGGAGACCCTACTCTCGGTCTCCTCTCCCCTTCCTTGACCTCTGTGTTAGCCGATCCTCCCTCGCCCCCGGTCCCCCAGATATGAGTTAGCACGCAGCCCCTCCTACCCGCCAGTTCTGGGTCACCTCCGGCTTCAGGTACCGCACCGCGTAGCCGCTGAAACTCTCAACTGCGGAGAGAGGGCGGGTCTCCGGCCCCCAGCCCGCCCAGAGCAAGCCCCGCCCCTCCTTTACCTGAGCCCCGCCCCTAGATCAAGCCAAGCCCCACGCCTGGTGCTAGAACTGGTCCCGCCTCCGGACAGTGCAGCTCCAGTCCCAGAACCAAACCTGCCCTCCGCCTCCGCCCCACTGGCTCCCCCGGCTCGGACCTGGTGCCGCCCCCTCCCCAAGACAAGCCCCGCCTCTGTGAGCCTCAGTCCGTCTGTCTCCCTCCCCTGAGTGTCCAGCTGCTCTTAGCTTCCCCGCCCTGTCTTTGACGCAGCCCACCCCGCGAAGCCTCCGGTCCGAGGTCCGGGCTCGAGGGACCCAGCACCTCCGTTATCTCTCCCGCCCTAGGGCATCCTCCGCGCCCGTAGACCAACCCCTCTTGCTCGGGCAGGGCAGCTTGAACTCGCCGGCAGAGGACACGAAGCGGGACCAGTCCTCGATGGCGTGCGTGAAGCAGGGCCAGTCAACCCGATTGATGCCCGGAGCGATAGGCGCCAGCTTTCCCTCGCGGCACCTGTTTCGGAGCCTCTGGCCGGTCGCCGTGATGTCCTGCCAGGAAGCAGGGAGTCAGGACGCGACGGCCAACTGACACCACCCCTTAGGCGGGAGCTGCCACTTGGCCCATCTGACCGAAGGACCTCCCGAAGCCCCTGAAGGAGATGGGAAAGGGGACAGGAGTCCCAAGCAGGCAGTGGAGAAAAAGAGCAGAGTGGAGCCCAGGACCCAAGGTGCTTGGGGCTGGATGCGCGGGACATTCATGTCCTCTTCCCAGAGTAAACTCAGGGCCAGGGTCAAAGGATACTCACCAAACACTGCAGGGGTTTGTTGGGGACACCAAGGAGTGTGAAGTGGGCATTGTCAAAGTCATCTGAAGAAGGAAGAGAAAGGGAAAAGAGACGTCTCCTCCACCAGTGGTCTCAGGCCCACACAGGAGAGGTCTGGTCCACGCTGCTTTAGCAGGTTTTTGAAGTACTTGACAACTTTAAAATATCTAAAATCAAGTAGATTTCACTTAAGATACCCCTTATAACAGAATAAACTCCAACTAGATCAGATTTCAAGGTGAAAAATTAAACCATTGAAGTGCTAGAAAAAACATGGGTAAATTTCTTTTAACCTTGGGATGGGAAGGCCTAACCAACTCTAATTTAAAATCAGGTAGCCTTTACTTCAAATAAGTAAGTAAGTAGTAAAATGCACCATAAAAAAAAATAAAATCAGGTAGCCTTAAGAAAAGATCAATAACTTGGACTACATAAAAATAAGCTTTTGCATTACAACATAAGAAAACATAAAGAAAGTCAAAAGACAAGTGGGAAAAATATTTCCACGTATTTTCCCTTATATTAAAAGAGCTCCTGGAAATCAAGACTAAATACAATAGAAGAGAGAAAAAATAAAAATGGCTAAACAGGTATACAAGACATCTTTAGGGATAATTTGGGACATTTTAATACAGGCTGAATATTAGATGTTAGGGAACTATTTTTAACTTTCTCAGATGTGATAATGGTATTGTGTCATGTAGGAGGATGTTCTTATCTTTGGGAGCTGCTTGCTGAAGTGTGTATGTGTGAGAGAGAGAGAGAGAGAGAGAGTGGAAACAAGTATGACAAAACATTAATTGAAGCAGGTGGAAGGTAATGGATGTTCATAGTATTATTAGTCTTTCAATTTTCCTCTATGTTTGAATATGTTCATAATAAAAAAAGTTGGGGAGCAAAGAATATGTTTGTATTTGCAGTGGTAAACAGTGGAAGGGTATCTCAGGAACTAAGAGTGGTTACCTGTGAGTGGGGGTCGGGAGAAGGGGGAGGAATGAGAATTGTTTAAAAAAGTACATTGCTATAGCATTTTGAATTTTTTTTAGCATTTTGAATTTTGAAACTGTGACCATTACTTCTATTAAAAATGTACTTGCAATAAAAAGCATATCTAAATCAAGAGCTCTCCCTAAAAATCTCGATTCCTGGCTTCTCTTGGAAGCCAGGGAATTGACAGAACTGTGCTGACCCTTCCCACACAGAAGTCAATGGGAGCCCCCTTTAGAGGGGAGGGTGTGAAGGCTCCACTTCACCTCTCCCCTCTCCCCTTTTGCCTCCCCACCCACTTTTGGCATTTGTGTTTCCCATCTGGGCCCCAGGGGTCTGTGGGACCTCTGGAGATCTCCTTGCCACCACTGACATCCTCTGAAACCTGGGTATCACCCTGGACTCACCCCTCTTGCCCCTCTACCCACACTGATACCAAATCCTGTTACTTTGTCTCCTAAATACCTTCTAAAACCCTCCCCAGAGGCCAAGATACTATCAATCCTCCTGAAGACTGTAGTCCCTCCCAGGATCCTAACACCCCCCTTCCCAGTTATCCACCTCTAGTTCCTCTGGGCCTCCACCACCCTTCCCCCACCCCTGCCCCAATGCTCAGACCTCTTTTCCGCTTAAAAGTCTTCAGAGGTTCTTATCTACCTCCAGAGAAAGTCCAGACCCCTGAGCTTAGCAACAGGGCCCCCCCGAGCTGTGTCCTCCTCCCCAGCCACAGCTCCTGCTGTTCCTGCACACTTTATCCTCCGGCCCAACTAAAGCCCTCAAGTTCATCAACACCTCGCATAGCTTTTCCCCTCCAGGCCTCTGCACATGCTGTTCCTCTAGCTGGAACACCTTTGTTTCCCTGCAGACCCAGAACAGTGTCAGGCACAAAGTAGGCGCTTAATAAATATGCTGAAATGAACAAGTGTGGATGTCCATGGGGCACCAGGCCTGCACACCCAAGCTTCTCAATGGATGAAGGGCTCTTCCTTGGCCCCATGTGGCCCTTTTACCCTGGAGGATCCTAGGTCCACCTCTCATTCATGGGAGGTGTCTTCCTCTTCCTTTTTCAAAGGGAGAGACGATTGGGTAGAAGTTGTCGTTATTGCCATTATTATTCCTCTTCCTCCTGCAACTGCTGACCTCTGCACAGTTCTCTCTCCATTAACAATAATAACAGCAACAATGTTATCTCTGAGCACATATTATGTGCCAGGCACTCCTCTAAGTGCTTTTCAATCTGTGTCTCATTTTAATCTCACAGTGGCCCTGAGAGGCTGACCCTGTTATCATCCCCATTTTACTGATAAGGAAACAGAGGCTCAGACTGGGAGATTTCCTAGGCAGGGAGGAGCAGAGCTGGGGCTAGCGCCTTTAACCCTTTCATCTGTCACTCTTGGCTTTTCCCTCTGAGATCTCTCTCCTCCAAACCATCCATGCCTTCCCTGAAGGCCCAGCTGGGCTGGTGCAGGTGGCAACAAGGTGGCCTGACCTTTGTGGCAGTACGTGGTGGACTGGCAGTGCTCGTCGGAAAGGCAGGCCCTGACGGAGTCCATGTCCATGCGTCGCAGGCTGGGCAGGGCCGGGTGGTAGAGCTGCTGCTTCACACCAGCCAGCTGGTTGCGCTGCCGCTCCATGGGCAGCAGGATGGCCGGGGATGCGTACACGTGGGTGGAGCCATCCTCCCAGGGCACCAGGTCGATGATGCGGGCCATGGCTAGGGGCAGAGACACAACCTTGTGGGAACACAACCTTGGCCAGTGCTGATTTGTCTACTTGTCCAACAGTTATTGAGCACCTACTGTGTGCCAGGAGCTATGGTGAGGGGTCCATTCAAAGACACACGCACAGAGGATGTGCTAAGGTCTCTGGCAGAGGTCAGAACAGAGTGTGTGTGTCTGGGGCGGCTGGGGTTGGGGCATTCAGGGAATGGCCTAAAAGAGATGGCATTTGTGTCTATTCTTCAATAATGAGCAGGAAGCATCAGCAGCAAGTGGATTCAGAATTTAGCTCAATATGCCTCTGGGTAACTAATTATGGACTTTTGGTCTTAGCTGAGGTTTCTGGTATTTACTCAAAATTCTACGGGGAGATATAGAAGAGTCTTAAGTAAGGGACGAGACATGATAGATATGAACCAGAAAAAATATGGCTGGTTCCCCAGTGCTTCCTTTGAAAAAGCAGGTAGTCCCAGAGCCTTATTTTCTTTAGCCTTTAAACTTTAGCGAGAATCTGTTGAGTCAGGTTGCTTTCTTCCTGACCCCAATTAGAGGTGAGAGATGGAGGTGGGCAGGAGGAGAGAGGACTTTGAGCCATGAAGAAATGGGGATGGGGCGTGGTGGCGAGTGAGGAAACTGCCACCAGGGAACGGCCTGCGTGAGGAGGGATGGGGAAGGTGGGGCAATGGGAGGAGGGGAAAGGGAGGGCTCCCTGCTCCTGACCCACTGACAGTGGTACCTCATCTGCAGGCCATGGGCTCCAGGTGTACAGACTTCAAGGATTTTCTGCTCTTCTGACTGCTCAGTGGGAAAAGAGGCAGGGAGATGGGCCGAGCGCCAGTGCCTTATGAGACAGTAGGAGAATAAAGGAACATTCTGCAGAGACAATGCCCATGGCAGCCTGATTGTGAGGGCACTTGCTCCTCGGCTACCCTGGCAACCGCAGGCTCCTAGGGGAAGAGCCTGCTGCTGGAGGGTCCTTGCACTGGCCCCCTCTTTCAGCCTTCCTGAAGGTTGCTGTCTCCCAGGCCTCAGCACATGCTGGGCACGCTGGGAAATATCAGACAGGGGGATGGGGTCCTGGGGGTGGCTATGCCTGGACTCGCCAGGGCAGGCTCTGTGACCTTAGACTAGTTATTGTCTCTCACTGGGCCTCAAAGCTCCCATTTGTGTTAGGCAAGGGCCCTGGGCCCCCATGAGGGGTGTCTATGAGCTGAAAGGGCACTCCCCTCCTTACAAACCTCAGGAAAGAGGGCACTGCCCTACCAACTAGTCCTTGGGTCTCTAGGGGTGGAGATTAGTGGCTGCCAGGATCTGGGGTCAGCATAAGGGGATCAGGGAGAGTGGTGGCCTCAGCAGGACGGGGATTAGCAGGTGATACTCCACCCCCAGCCCTCTGCAGGCCTGCAGCCTCCCTTCTGCCTTCCCCAAAAAGCAAGATCACGAGGGCCTAAGCCCAGCACTCCTAAACCCTGGGCCTGCCAACCACCCTGGCCACAACCATGGAGATGGACCCTCCAGGTGAGGAAACCTTGGGGATACTCTGACTCATTTGCATATATTGGCATATGCTTTGCATACACCTGCCCAAGTGCTGAGCCTGATGGGCCCGGGGACCCCTACTGTGAGGTTCCTGTAGGATTTGGCTCCCTAGTTGCTCATCCTCCAGTGCTGCTTCCAGGTAGGCTTTGCTCCTCCTCCAGTGCTCCATACAGCCCCAGAGCAGCATCCCCAAGACCCATCCCTTACCGAAAACTTTTCTAGGGTTGACCTCATTTGCCATCCTACCCCAATGTATTTTTAACTTTAAGAGTTTAAAAAATAAAAAAGTTTAAACTCTTTTAAAGTTAAAAATACAAAATACAGAAAATGCATAAATGTATAATGTAACTCATAATTTATAAAGACCTCCCATATATCTACCAGTCAGACCAAGACATAAGTACTACTTTGCAAAACAGTATAGCAGTTTCTTAAAATGTGAAAGATAAATTTACTATATGACCCAGCAATTCTATCCCAAGGAGTCATCCCAAGAGAAATGAAAATGTATGTCCACACAAAGACTTGCATGCAGATGTTCATAGCAGGATTTTATAATAGCCCCAAAATGGAAACAATGTTAGCATCCATTGACTAGTGTAGAGATAAACAGACTGTGGTGTATCTGTGCCATGAAATACTCTTGGGAATCAAAAAAAAGAAAAGAAGTGCAGATACATGCTACAATGTGGATGATCATCAAGAACATTATGCTAAATGAAAGAAACCAGACACAAAAATGCTCCACACTATGCCTACCCCTGCTCCCCTGCACCTCACACAGGTCTCTGCCCTCTGTGTTTCTTTCACGGCGCTCAGCATATTTGCAATATTTCTTTATTTATCGTTAATCTTTTTAATTTCTGAATCCTACATTGTAATGTAAGCTCCGTGAGGACAGGTCCTATGTCTGTCTTTCTCAGTGTGCCAAGGCTGGCACACTGCCCGGCACATAGGAAATGTAGATGATCAAGTCAAATCCCTGCCCCTCTGCTGATCAACACTGCCTGGCCCCCACCCAGGTACTGTCACCTCACCGAGCCCCTTTGCATGCTAGGCCTCTGTCCCTCTCCCCGTCTCCCTGAGAGCTCTGTCTACACCCCTCCAGGGTCAGACCTCAGTTCAGGGGGTCAGCTCCAATGTCAGTCCTTGGATTCTCCCTAAAAGCCTGGCCCTGGGACCACAGTCATTCTGGCAGATCCACAGGAAGGAGCTGCTGAGGCCCTGCCCAAGCTGCAGAGAATTCTGGGACAGAGGGACTCGGCTTGAGTCCCTGCACTGGGGCTGGAGAGCTGGGTGTGCCTCCTGCCACTGCTGACTGAGAGTTGACAAGCCCCTGCCACCTTGAGGGTCTCCCAGAATCACATGGGGACTCCGGGCTGTTATTCTCCACCAGCAAACCCTGTGGGTTGGCCAAGGTATGTGGGGAACCAGGTCCCCTGGGAGCTCATGGTGTACCAGACTAGGGCCATGTAGGGCTCCTTCCCTGGGGCCCAGATCCCTGCTGGCTCCTGGGGGTTTGCTGCCTGCTCTCTTTGCATCAATCTCCTCTTTTCCACCGCCACCTCCCCACCCTGTTCAGCACCTCCTAATCCTTTGCACACAGCCCTGCTGCCGCCAATTAATCCCTGCTGTGTCTGGGAGGCCAGCTGAGAGAAGCAGGAAGAAGGCAGTTGCTGGCTGGTGGACGGCATCCGAGCAGGTAACTCAGGATGGAGGAAGTGGAGACTCGGTGGGACCCTTGATGGGACCCCCTCCATGCTTTCCTCCTGGCAAGGCATTTAGATTTGGAGAATTGGGCAAGGCTGGAATCCTGAGGCTTCTCTCTCCCCTTGGCGGGGCTCAAACCTTAGTGAACGTCCAAGGCAGCTCGTGAAGTGTGGATTCCAGGTTCTGCAGAAGGTTTAGAGGGGCCTAGGAATCTGCATTTCCCCAGCTCCTCAGAAGCTTATGAAAGGCTGGTGGTCCCAGCACCAGAGTTGCCCTGAGCTACCACTCTCGGGTCCCCCTTCCACCTGAGCCTCCCTCACCAACATGGAGTCAGCAGGGACATGGCAAAAAGATGGGAGGGACCTACAAGTGTCTCTATCCAGGAGAAAATGGCTGGGTCTGGGAGAAGAAGGAAACTTGGGAAAGGGGAATGCTTCCCTAGTCATTTCCAGAAGGTTCAGAAACACATGCAGAATTGCTGCCCGCTGGGAAAGGGCTTGCAGGACTGGCTTGCAGAAGCAGCCAATCCTGGGCAAATGTCAGTGCTCCTGGGGTGGATGTGGGACGCTTGGAGTCTGGCAGACCTGAGCGTAAACTCAGCTTAGCCGCTTACTGGCTGTGTCACTTTGGGCAAGTCAGCTGACTGCTCTGTGCCTCCATTTCCTTAACTGTGAAGCCGTGATGAAAATGCTTATTTTACTGAGGCTGAGTGAGAAGTGGTGAGAATGAGGGTGAGGTGATCACGACATGTGGGGCTGCCTGTGGCTGGCGGGGGCCGGTGGAATCTGCCATTCTAAACATGCAATCTTGGACTCTACCAGCCTTGGAAATCAGTGTCTATACCCCATACCCAGTGAGGAAATGGAAGACCAGAAGTGTCATGTCTGGCTCAAGTTCACCTTTTGGGTCTGAGTCAGAGCCCTGACCCCTTACTCAAAGCTGAAGCTGGGCTGCCAAGGGCAGAGCAGGGACAGAAGTCGGGGCTGTGAGTAGAAGGGCCAGCAGCATGGCCAGGGGCTGCAGGGAGCTGGGGACTTGGGTGGGGATCCTGGCCCCATGCCTGCCCTTTTCAGCCTGGGACCAGGGTCTCTGGCAGAGGAGGGGCAAAGTAGCAGTCTACAAATGCCTTGGCTGCTCACGGCTGAGTAGGGAGCATGCACTGTGCCGGGCGGGGCCTCTGAAGGGCCCTTCGAGGCTGGGAGCTTGCAGATGTTGATCTATGTGGTGCCCTCTGGGTCAGGCCATCCTGCAGGAATATAGTCATAAGGGCAGGGCTGCCCATTCTCTGAAGATAAATAGTGCCAGAAACTGAACCTGTAGAAGGTAGAGCTGGACTATCACAGTAAGCCATGGAAGGGGGGCTTAACTATCATTTTATCTTAAAATTGTTTTAAGTCATGAAAATAGGTTAATTTTATCTTATATTAAACAAAAAATATTTCCATTCATATGCTACTCAAAATGTATTTTAAAACAATTTAAATGGGATTATGCTGAACATGATAGTCTATTATTAGCATTTTTTGCTTGACATCCAACATTTATTAAGCTTTCAGGGTGTGCCAGTCACTGTTCTCATCAGTTTACTTTATCCTCACAATAATCTCTGCCAGGTAAGTCCTGTTAACATCCGCATTTTACAGACAAGCAAACAGAGGCATGGAGAGTTTAACTGATCTGCTCACAACTGGAGTTTGGATCGTGTAGATTTTTCCACATGAGTTCAAATAGATCTGCCTTAAAAAAATGGCTCCATAATATTCCACTATTGGATGTATTATAATTTATTTAATATGTGCCCCTCTTACAGATGAACAATTAGATACTACCCAATAACCAGTCTCCTACTGATGGATTATTTAGAGGTTTTTCATCTTTTGCTTTCACACTGGTTGTGACCAACCTCTTTGTACACATATGTCTGTGGGCTTGAGCATTTCTATAAGGTGAACACCTGGAGGTAGAATTGCAAAAACGTTTTTAAAGAAAGAAATAGGAAATATGTAACCCACAAAAGCAGTCCACGAATGATGGGAGGAACTGGGAGGACTCTGGGGAGGCCTAAGGACTCTGCCTCCACAGGTGTCAGAATGTTGAGCTGGGCCCAGAAGGTGCTGCCTCAGCCCCCGGAGGCCCGTCGGAAGACCAAGACAGAGGAGGAGGAGGGAGCAGAACCAGAGCGGGAGCCAGAGACCGAAACAGCCCTTGAAGAGACTGTCCTAGAGGAAGAGTCCCTGGTAAGAGCTGGAGGGTGATGGAGGGCACACTGGCCTTGCTGCTCAGAGAACTCCCAGCTTGGGTCAGCTGCCCCCACGGACTGTCCACAACAGGGAAAGCTGGAGCCAGAAGGAAAAGGAGGTCACCTCATTCCGTAAACGGCCAGATAGTAAATATTTTGGGCTTTGTAAGTCATGCCATCTCTGTTAATTACTCAACTCTGCCACAGTAGTGTGAAAACAGGCTGAGACAATATATAAATGAATCAGCCTAGATGGCTGTGTTCCAGTAAAACTTTGTTTACAAAAACAAGCAATAGGCTGGATTTGGCCCACTGGCCATTGTTTGCCAATCTCTATAGAGTCTAGAGCAGAGCTACTCGAAATAGCCAGTCTATGAACTGTTTGCTGCTAGTCCCTGATGAGATCAGAAGCCCACCAGATATAAGTCTACTATGTAACTAAGCACACTGCTTTAGTTGTTGACATACAACCTACTGTAAACTGCTTAATCATTGTGGACCAGTGACAGTTTGCAGACTGACACTGGTTCATGGACCGCATTTTGCGCAGCCCTGTTCTACAAATTTCTTCCTTGCCAGTTCTGCATCCCATTCATTTAGTAGCTTGATGACACTAATTCAGGAACTCAGACAGATTTGATTTAGCTTCTAATCAATGCCAGGCCTGTGTGCAGTGCTGGGAGCACAGTGATGAGTAAGGCATTGCCCCCTGGGGGTCAGCAGACAATACTTAGCCAGGTCATTCTGCCAGGAGACAAGTGATGAAGGAATGTGATGCGCTCCAAGAACATCCTCAGCTCTACCCTTCTGGGAGGACCATATAAGTGTATAAACTGAGAACTATGAGAGCTCAGAGGAGAGAGCCATCTTCACTCTGGAGACTGAAAGCTGGTGGAGGAGTGCTTCGTAGCCTCAGTGCACGGGGCCAAATTGTAACTGGAGGAGACGAAGACGTGGGGCCTTCCTGGTGGAGGAAAGGCTATTACTGGGTAGTGCAGGGTGTGTTTAGGAAGCAGTGTGCTATCCAGATGGAGGGTTGCTGTGCATATGTGTTTGCATGTGCACAACGTGTATATGCAGGTACACGTGCCTCGTATTCTTAGTGGTATGTTTGTACATACGTGTGCATTAGCAAATTGCACTGGAACATGTGTTGATTCACAAGTGTGTATACACACGTACACACATACATGTTTATGTGTGTGTACACACGATTCATGTGCCTGTAGTTCCATGTGCATGTGGGGCATGCTAGTGTATATAAGTGTGTGTACACGCCTGTTTCTGAGTCTGTGAATGTATTTGTGTGCGCTCATGTATGCTCATGTCTGCGTATCTGTGCGTGTGTATACATATGGACATAGTGTCTGCATGTTTGTATATATACACATTTTGTTCATCTGTGCATGTATGCTCATCTATGTGTGTATTTGTGTGTTGGTGCACATGTGAAATGATGTGTTCACAAGTACGTTTGTGTGTCAGTGCAAATGTGCATGAGGATGTGTGTACATGCCTATGTTTATGTGACTGAGCACTTATTTTTGTGTCAGCCCATGTATGCATGTGTGTACACACACCTGTCTCACATATCTGTGCACTGTACACACATGTGCTTGTGTGTGTCTGTGAGTGTGTGTAGACGTATGTGACAGTGAGTGTATAAGTGTCAGTGCACACATGTTAGTGTGTCCTTGTGCTTGTGCATGCTTGTCTGTGCATGCACACGTGTGCACTTGTAGACGCAGCTGAGAGGCAGAGGGCAGAGGCTGAACGCCACACAGCTGCTAGAAGGGGATGGAACATTTGGTGCAGGACATGGAGGGCTCTGGTGGGCAGCTGGGTGTGGGGTAGGCTCCTCTCAGCAGCTCTTCTCCTCAGTTGCCCAGAGGCCTCATAGCTCTAAATTTTTTCCCTCTTTTCAGGCCATTTGAGTGAGACAGCTTCCTGGGGGATGTGATAGGCCTGGGGGCACCTTAGGGGGATGTGAGGGCCCGGCTCTGGATGAGGGACCCCTGGAGGAAGGGTGTGTCCCAGGTGGAAGGTGAGGCCACCAGGATTTACAGAGAGGACTGTGACAAGTGTATTGTTTGGTCTTGTGGGGTGAGGGGTGGGGTCAGTTGTGGGTGGGTTGGAGGCTGCGCCTACCTGAACCAGGCTGGTCTCACTGAGGCTTACGGGGTCCCATTTGAACCCTCCAGCCACCTGAGGAGCCCTGTGTCGGGGAGGAAGTGGCTGCTCCAGGCCCTCAGGGTGAGTGCTGGAAGCCCAGGAGGGCAGGGTGGGTGGTGTGGAAGGGCTGTGTTCTCCACTCAGAGCCTGGCTGAGGGCCATGAGCTGGCAGGCCCATTTCACAGATGAAGAAACTGAGGCTCAGAGAAGCTAAAGGTGGGCTCCTGGGGACTTTTTAGCTGAGCTGAGCTGGGACCCCCGGCTTCTGACTCCCTCAGGGTTCTTCCCTCTCCTCTGCCTCCGACTTGACCTCCCCAGTAGGGTAGAAATGGGTCTCTCTGAGGTTCCAGTTCTAAAGTATGAGGAACTCTTTTCCAGAAACCCAGGAGGCTGCCCCTTCTCCACCTACATCCCTCCAGGCCCAAGTCACTGTGGTTCCTGAAGTGAACAGGTACTGCCCCACTGTCCCTTCTCCTCAGGGCCAGCCTCCTACCCAAGCTAGGGAGACATTAAAGGGGTGGGGACGGGCCCTGCTGTCAGATCTGAGTCACTTCCAAGTAAAGACTCAGAACATCTTGGAAACTGGCTGAAGGGAGCCTCAGACAGACGTGGGGGTCTCCTGGGCCAAATGAACCATATAACCAAGAGAAATGGAGTGTGGGGACCAGAGGATTCTCAGTGCTTGGGTGAAACACAGGTCCGGTGTGGCCAGAGCTTCTGATTTTCCCAATGAAGACAGAAATCCAGACTTTTACATGAAATCTCCCAGATAGCTCAAACATTTTAGACCACTGGTGCTTGTCCAAGTGCTCATGTCTGCAGCAGGGCTGGCCTCAGACAGTGAGTCTGGGACCCTCATGTTTAGGCTGACCAGCCTCTGTCACAAGGAAACACCTTATTGGAAACCGTCAACCCTCCCAGAGCACAAGACATGTGCCAAGCACAGGAGGCACCCCCAGCCCCAGAGCCAGGCTAAGGGGGCAGCAGAATGATAGAATTCAGCTGTTTTTACCAAGCATCTGGTGGAGGTGGGCTTGGAATGGCGTGGGCATGTCTGGCCTCACTAAGGGTTGGTGTCCCCTATTTTCCAGAGGGGGATACAAGGCTCCAGGAGGGAGGGGACATGTCTGTAGTGTCCCAGTGGGGAAATAGAGGTTTGGGGTTCAAATGAAGTTCTTTAGGATGCTGTGAACTGCCACGCTGACCAGGGAGGGGCTGGGGACGTTGAGGGCAGGCCGGTATCTCTGTCTCTCAGTGGTCCCAGCGGCTGGGTGCCAACCTGGCTCAGGAAGGGCCTGGAGAAGGTTGTCCCACAGCCCATCCACAGTGACAGGACTGCCCAGAGCACTGCTGCTGGCTTGGAGGGTGCAGCTCAGGTACTGCTGGGTGGGAGCTGAGATGGGTTGGGTGGGGAAGGGGTGGGAGGTAGTCCGGCGCACCTGACCTCTGCCCATGTCTGTCTGTCTGTCCTGGCAGGCAGGAGCACAGATCCTTGGGCATTGCAGCACTAGGGGCTCAGGTAAGGCCAGGAGGCAGGATGGCTTTACAGGGGTGGGCTCAGGGGCTGTTGGGTTGGGTCCTGCTCCCTGGGGTGTCTGCAGGGCCAGAGTGTCTCACCTGACTGGGCCCGGGTTTGAATCTGTATTTGAGCTGGGCTGACTGGGGAGCTCCAGGCAGGCCCCTTGCTGCTGACCATCCTTCTTTCTTCCCCAGATGGACCCAATGAGGCCCCCAGGGCCCAGGACACCGGGTGAGTCCCTGTCTTGAACGCTGGTTTGGGAGCTCCTAAGCCCCATCTGCAGTGTGTGTGGTGGGCTCAGTGTGCCCAGAGCCCAGATTCCACCACCAACTCAGTGTGTGACCTTGGACATGCCTCTCATCTCTTCTGGACTTCACTTTTCTCAAGTACAAAATGGGGATGATGGGTCCAGTGCTACCCAGAGTTTTTTTGTGCTAATTACTGGGAGATTCCCTTCTGGGGATGGAGAGGAAGCGTGGCCAAACTCCTTAGAGATGGGCTTCATGTAGGTGGGCACCATGTGGAGCCCAGAGGCAGGGCCTGGGTCACAGTGGGAACATTGGGGTGCCAGGTTTGGCTTCATAGTTGGCAACAGCTTTGGACTTCTCAGAGCTGACTGAAGGGGTGGCAGACTGGTTGGGGGGACTGTGGCAAACGGGAGAGCCCATGTCCCTCTCTAGGAAGGGGCCCGCTGATCTCCTCTTGCCTCTGCCCTGCAGGAGAACAGGCCTGGGGTTGCCAGAAGCTCCAATTTTTCAAGAGAAGCTAGAAATTTAGGTTTTTACGTAATCCTTAATTCTCAGATGTTGCCAACATTGGGCCCTCAGATCCACCTGGCCTCCAGGAAGCCTCTCCCTCTTCAGGGAAGCTCCGTGTTCCCAGGGGAACCCATCCTGGGATGGGTTTTCAAAAATACTGTGAGGCCCCCAAATAAACCTGAAGCCTCCAGTTTGCTGTCTGCTAGAAGTCCAGAGTCACACCTTCATCTCCATTCAGCCCATTCTTTCATTCCTTCCCTCATCCAGTCCTTAGACTGTCAGATCCTTGAGCTCCAGGATTTTTGTCTTGGTCACTACTGAATCCCTGCTGCCTAGCACAGGGCCTGCCATGGGGAGGGGGCTCAGCACAGAAGGGATGAATGAATGAATGAATGAACATATACAATCACACACTATTCGTTCATTCATTGCTCCAGCTTGCTCTCTATTTCTTTTGTCCTCTGGAGGCTGCCCAGATCATGGGTCCCCAGGGCCACTCTGCTGACCTGTGGGACCAGTAAAGTTGATTTAGGATGAAGACACCCAGAGGACTTAACAGCTTTCTTTTGGGCCATATCAGAGGGGATGGGTTCCCCTGGGAACATGGGGCTTCCCTGAAGAGGGAGGGGCTTCCTGGAGGCCAGGTGGATCTGGGGGCCCAACGTTTGCCACAGGGCCAGCTGCATAATTCATAGGGCTCAGTGCAAAATGAAAATGCAGGACCCCTTTACCAAAATTACTGAGTTTAAAACAGTGACTCCTGAGCATTAACCAAAAATGGGCCCTGCCCTGTGTGACTGCACTGCTCACATACCCATGAAGCCAGAACTATCTGTCTCAGTCACAGGGAGGCCCCCATGCTGCATTCAGGTCCCCAGGCAGTACCCATTCTCATCTGCTGCCCAGGAGGCCAAGACTAGGGGATCCCGCCCTGGATCAGAATCTGAGGTTGGCAGAAGTTCCCCTCACCAACAGAGGCCCCCCGCCTTTTTTTTCTCTTTCAGGGACAGTAATTAGGTTTATTTATTTATTTTTTGATGGCGGTAATGGGGATTGAACCCAGGACCTTGTGCATGCTAAGCAGGCACTCTGCCACTGAGCTACACAGTCCCCCCACTGGAGGCCCTTTAAGGGTATCCAGTACAAGGTCCCCACTGTGCAAAATGGGAGCCAAAGGCGAGGAAGGGCTGGTTGAGACCGAGGATCCAGCGGGTGGTCAGGACAGAGTGGTTGGCCACCCCTGAGGCTGCTCTGCTGACCACCGGCCCCTCTGCAGGTCTGGGTCCTGGCTGCTCAGGTGGCTTGAGCAGAATGTGGAAAAAGTGCTGCCTCAGCCCCCGAAAATGTCTGAGGTAAGTTGAGGAAAATGGGGAGCAGACAGCTGACCATGTAGGAGGGTTTCTGGGGCCCCAAGAAGGGCCTGCCTATTCCAGAGGCTGTCCCCACCCCTAGGACCCATGGAGGGGATGCTCTTTTCTCGAGAGGGTCCTTGATGGGGAGGTGTGACTGCCAGAGAAGCAGGGGATTCAGGGGCGGATGGGCCAGGGCGTGGCTTTCTTCCTCCGTGACCTCACTTCCTGTTTACAACCCAGGGCTGGAGAGACGAGCCTGTGGATGCTGCCTTGGGTCCAGGTACAGGGAAAGGATCTGGGAAGAGGCTGTCTGGGATGCTCATAGACTGGGCTGGGGGTACAACTGGGGCCTGAGGAATGCTGGGGGAGGACCTTAGCCCTCACCCAGGCTCTGGAGGGGTTCAGGGCTTGCAGGAAGCCGACTGTTGTTGGGCCCTGGAATCCCTGTCCCAGTCCAATCTGGGAAAAGCCAGTAGCCTGAGACAGCCCTGAGAGGTCTTAGATAAGTCCCTTCCCCTCCCGGGACCTCAGCTCCATGTCTGTCTTATGATTGGGGTAGTCGGGGTGGGCCCAAGGGGCTCCCCACTCAGTAGCGTTGGTGCCTTGAATCTGGTCCCCCATGCCCTTGAGGGGTTGCATGGAACCCTGTGATGTCATCCTTCGTCTCCTTCCCTCCCTGCTGCTCAGAGCCCCCAGGACCCTCCTTGGGAACCAAGCCCGAGCCTGTGCTGCAGGCCCAGGAGAGCCCCTCCCTGCCTGCTCCCGACCCCCCAGAGCCCAAGGAGGAGCCGACTCCAGACCCCCTGCCCAGCATCCAGACCTCCTCCCTGCCACCCGCCCAGGACTCTGCCAGGTGAGCCCCCCAAATGCCATGCCTCCCACAGGCAGCAGGCTCAGTGCCTGGCCCCAGCCCAACACCCAGCCTTCACCAATTGAGTCTTTTTAAATTATAAAAGTAGCACATGCACCTGGGAGAAAATTCAGAGGTTTCCAGCATCCCCTCCCAGGGCAATCACATCAGCAGTTTCTCCTGCTTTCAAGCGTTTCCTACACACAGACAAGTTCTGAGCACATTTCTCCTTTAAATACACACACCAGGCAGCAGCAAACTATATATACTGTCCCTCATCTCATTTTTTTCACTAAAAAAATTTGTCTTAGAGGCGGTTTTATGCGTAGTGGTCTGCTCCATTCTTTCACCGACTGCACAGTACTTCATTAAACGGGTGCACCAACTTTTATTTAACCATTTGGCAGACATTAGGTTTGTTTCCACTCTTTTGCTGCAATCAGTAGCCTTGTACAGGCATCACTGCGTTCATGAGCAAGTAAATCAGAGCAAATGGAGTTACTGGGCCAACAGATACATGCATTTAAAATTGGAATATATACTGCCGAATGCTGCTGCCCTGGCAGTGTGTGAGGGGCCTGAGATGCACCTCAGGGGGTGATGTAGAGGGTAGGGGGCCTGAGTTACCACTGGGGTCTGACCAGTAGCCAGAGGCTTGGCCTAGGGAGGCCAGGGAGCAGGACGACTGTTTTCAGGGCTGGAGACCAGGGTTCTGGTCTGCCTTCTGGCTGGCTTGCTGCCTGCCCTGGGAGGGATCTGACACCGGCCTCAGTTTCCCCACAAGCCCTCCCACCTGGCCCACTTTCTCCCACTTGCAGGTTGGTGGCATGGCTCCTGCACAGGCTGGAGATGGCCCTGCCGCAGCCAGTGCTCCATGGGAAGGCTGGGGAGCAGGTGGGTGCTGGACTGGGGAGTGGGGGCCCTGTGTGGTGGTGGGAGGGGTCTTGGGTGCTCAGGCAAGGTGAGATGGTCCCTGGGTGGGGAGGAGGGCACAGAGGAAGAAGGGAGCCTGCAGTGGAGCTCAGCCACCTATCCTGCCTGTCTCACTCACACACCCTGGTCACTGTGGCCACAGGGCTGAGAAGTGCTGGTCCAGCCCTACCAGCCAGGTGGTCACAGTCAGTGGGGGAGGGGCTTCTATGTGGAAAGCAGAGAGGATGCGGGGTGCAGAGGGAGAGCCTCCCAGGAGCACTAAAGAAGGCTTCCTGGTGGAGATGGCCTGCAAGCTGAAACCTGAAGGAGGAGGAAGAAGCGGGTAGTGTAGGAAGGGCCCTTCAGGCAGAGAATTAGCACGTGCAAAGGCCCAGAGACAAGAGAGGCCTGGAATATTCTGAGAAGAGAAGTGAGGCTCACAGAAAGCCAGCGGGTCCTGTGTGCCTTCCTGACAACCTAGGGCTCCCACGTGGGCAGGTGGGGGGAGCAGGGCCTCCCTCTCCAAGAACCTGACACCTGGCTCCTCTCTCTCGGGGACAATTGGACATCTTCACAGAAGTGCTCACTGAGAGGAGGGTCCCTGGGGATGGTGATGGCAGGAGAAGGTGTGCTGGCCGAGAGAGGCCTTCATGCAGATAGAGCTTTGAGACAACTCTCCAGGAAAGGATGGGAGAGGTTTTTCATATGTAGAGAACCAGAGAGAGGGCATTCGAGGCAGGGGCCCAGCCCGGCAGAGAAGCTGAGGTGGGACCCAGCGAGCAGAGACCCTGGTAGGGGAGTGACCAGAGCAGTGGGGGACGTGTGAGGCGGGAGCGGAGAAGCAGGGTGGGATCTTCTGCAGGTTTCCTGGGAGCTGTGAGGAGACCCTCTTGCTCCTGCGTGTGCTAGGAGGGCTGATTGAAGCAGGGAGGCCAGTAAGGAGGCTACAGCTGGTTTTTCCCCTTCTTCTCTTCCCATGCAGGAGCCTGACACCCCTGTGATGTGTGACGTGCAGACCAGTAAGTGGCAGTGGCCCCTGGTGTGTGTCTCTGCAGGGCCTGTTTGGTCTGCGCACATGGGCGGTGGGCTGTCCTCGGTCAGGCCTGGACGTGCTCGGTGGAGGTGGGGGGGCAAGGGAAGCCAGAGTCTCCGGACCTGGGGCTGGGAGACTCCATGATCTGCAGGCCCCACCTTAGGTCAGCCTGGCTAGGTAGCCAGAGCCCAGCCTAGAGCCAATGATGGCTGGAGGCCCCTCCTGGGGGCCGGGGGTGGGGGATGGGCACACCGGCGGGAACCTGGCCTGCCTTCCCGCTTCTTTCCAGGAAAAATGATTCTGAGATCAAGTTGGTTGGCTCCTCTTCCTGCTAGGAACCCCTGGAGAGAGCTCCCCACTGCCCCCTGGCCCAGTGGGTTTGGCTAAGCAGAGTTCCTGGTTGCAGGATGAAAGGAGAGGGATGGGGTCTCCCTGTGGAAACTGAACCCCATAGACTCCAGCTCCCTTAGGCTGGGAGGGCATCCCCTTACCTGTGGCTGGGCTGAGGGGGTGCGTGCTGTCTTACCCCAGCCCTTCACCAGGAGTGGGGCCAGACGGAGGCCTAGAGTGAAGGGCTAGGATCCAAAATCTGCTCTTCCTTCATTTCATGGCCTCAGGAAAGGCATGTGGTATATAGGACATTCACTTGTTCATTTGTCCTTCATTCGTTCACAAATGGTCATGGAGAGCTGCTATGTGCCAGGTCTGTGGTGAACACTGGAGGTGAGCAGAGCAGAGTTCAGGGCCGGTGGGCAGTAACCCTGTTCCATCCTGGACACAGGCCCTGGCCCATGGGCCTCAGGGTGTCCCCAGGGTGGCCAACCCCAGTCCCCACTAGGCCGATGGTGGTCTTTACAAGAAGTCTGGCACAGGGGGTGGCTGCCTGAGGCTGGCCAGCTGTGGAGCATGGGTTTGATGGAGTGGCCATGGGAGGGGATGGTATTTGTATAGTCGTGACAATGTTGTGAGGGGGAGGCCTCAGAGCAGGGTGTGCTCAGTCTCGTGAAACTCATGGCCACCCTGGAGGGCACAGAGCAGGGATGCCCATGACTGTTGGGGAAGGCAGAGAGGCAGAGATGTGCCCAAGGTCACAAAGCAAGTCATCATGAAGCAGGGACTGGAAACCCCTTGGCCTGAGAGCAGTTGGAAAGGTTAGAGGAAAGGAAAACCTTCCAGGCACAGAGACCCCTCCCAGGGGGCGCCGAGAGCTCTGAGGATGGAGCCCCTGGCCCCCCTCACCCTCCTCCCTGCTCCTCTGGAATAAGGTGGGTCTTAGCCCACTGTAGGCAGGGCCTCCCTGCATGCCCCGAGCACGTGGGACTCAGGAGGGCACTGGGGCCCCCTGGGGGCCGACTCAACCGGGGGTCAGTTTCCTAAGGCTGCCATAGCCAAGGACCATAAACAGGCACCTTCAAACAGCAGAAATGCATCCTCTCATAGTTCAGGAGGGCAAGAGTCCAAAATTGAAGTGTTGGCAGGGTTGGTTCCTTCTGGGGCTGCGAGGGAGAAAACGTTCCAGGCCTCTTTCCTGACTTCTGGTGGCTGCTGGCCATCCTCGGTGTCCCTTGGCATCCAGCTGCCCTCCAATCTCTGCTTTTTCCTCTGTGTCTGCCAAACCTCCCTCTCCTGTCTTTTATAAGGACACCAGTCATTGGATTTAGGGCATACCCTAAATCCAGGATGATCTCATCTTGATATCTTTAGTGACATCTGCAAAGACCCTATTTCCAAATAAGGTCACATTCACAGGTGACAGAGGTTAGAACTTGGAGCGAGAGATATATATATAAAATATATATATATATATATATATATATATATATATATATAATATATATATATTATTA